TGTGTGCGAGTGCGCGTGCACGTGCGCGTGCGTGCGTGCGTGCGTGCGTGCGTGCGTGCGTGCGTGCATGTTTTCGAAAGCGTGTTCGTCTCCTAAAGAGCAGTTAATTCACGGGTCTTCCTGTTTCTCACCTGAAAGTCGTCAATGTCTTGTGCGGTTTTCTTCCCAGCTGCAACAAGTTGCCCAACACGGGGATTCCCCATGGTCCGGGAATTCCCCTTTTCTTCCCGTGACGAGCTTCCCAGAGGGCGATGACAGACAGGATGACGGCCAGAGTGCAGAGACCACGTGACACTGGGACGTCTGACGTCTCCAGAACGGATGCCATGGATGACAGCATGGCTGGACTCCTGTTGCTAACATTAACGAACCAATTTTTAAAAAAATATAAAACAAAAATAGCTTTGTTTGACTAACCCTACTTTTTGTAAAAGCATAAAGCAAAGTTTCTCAGAAATAACAGCTCTGCAATTTTCTTATCCCATTATGTAATTTTTTTTCTGAACATTTTTGTGAGGACAAAGACGCAATGAGACTAATTTTCTTGGACTTGCACGAAAAAATATCTACTTAGATCTAATTCAGGGTAGAGAATTTGGAAGCATTGCTTTCCCTGCCACAAATTTCTAACGAGTCTGATCGGCCTTAAGTTAGGACCAAAGTTAAAAAGGATATTCTTTTTTTATGTCACAGAGAGCAACACCACTCCCGCATTTCAAGGTCTTGTGGGTTTTCAACTAACTTGATGACTTTGTAATCGTCATTGATGATCAATATCTGCTGCCAAAAGGATAACACACAACGTACAGTCACATTATATCATTATGTTGTCTGGCTACCAGAGCGGTACTGCGGCTGACAGAGGAAGAACGAACAATAATAAGTATAATTAATCAAGTAATAATACTTTTCACTATCTAGCGCATTTTCACTAAGACAAATATACTACAAAAAATTGAGATTTGAGAATTCAAGGCTAGGGCTGTGACATTGTCTTCGATTCTTGAGATGTACCGAAAAGACGCCAACCTACTCTTCTTGCAAGTAATTTTGTATTAGAGTTTCATTGGAGGACAATCAAAAGACACAGTTGTGGATTTGGTATTCAGTCGAGGGGGGGGGGGGGTGAACTATGGCGTTTTCTATATAAGCCAAGCTCTCTACCCTGCAGGGTTCGTCAAACAGTTGGCTCTCGTAATTCTGCAGGATGAAGATCTTGTTCTTCTTTATGAAGTGACAATGAAAGTAATAACAATAATAATAATGAACTGCATTTGTATAGCGCAGTACCCCGCTCTAAAGCAAGCTCTATGCGCTTTACACTATCATTACCACCTTTGCAGATCATAGAACACTCAGAAACATTCTTAGCTCCCCGGAAAGCATTAAGTCCAAGCACTAACAAAGTGACAAGATCTTCTTTCCTTGTCAATAGCAGGGTACCTATTCCCATCTGGGTGAAGTGAGGAAAATTGTGTAAAGGGCCTTTCCCAATTAGGACCCACAACGTCAGGAACCTGACGGGATTTGAACCTGCGACCTTACGGTTGTGAGTCTGAGAGCCTGACCCCTCAGCCACCGATACAGAAGCACACATTTTTAATGTTAAGATCGTGGCCCTTTCAAAGTTTTGATACTTCACGTAGAACTCCCATGCTAAATCATAAACTATCTCGGCCCATTTGAACTAAGCACTATGATAGGCTGCGATATAAAGCCTTATTGGTATTTGAAATGTGTTTGCTGAATTTTGCTCCTGGAGCAGAGTTGACGTTTTGTTTCTGACTTTTTTATTGTTGTTGTTGAAAAAGGGTCTCCTCATACATCTGCTAATCTGCTTTAATTCCCCGGAAGACTCATGGATTAGAAATTTGGAAACCGCTGACTGAGTATACTGCCACACGTCAGAATACTCGTCTCATGGGCATAAAACTTTCACAGTTGTGTTTCGCACAAGGCATAGGTTGAAATGTATGTCACCATTTATTGCAATATTTTTTAAAAACATGGCAGAGTAAACGAACCCTTTTGAGATTAAAAAAAAAAAGTATTAACTGTCTCAAAAATGAATTCAAGTGAACTTGAGAGGCATTGAAAAATATTTGAAAAGTGGGTCTATTCGTAGCCCCCGCAATCCTTTGGCTTGCATTTTAGTCACCGACTGTACACAAAGCCCCAAGCTATGTTATTGTTTTTAAAATATTGCTTGAGGAGAATAATGATTTAAAGTTTTCAAAAATAAAATTTAACACACTGGCTAAGGTTTATAGATCTATATTTGCTGCTGCTGCTGCTGCTGCTGCTGCT